ACGTGATGGGTGTCAGCTCAGAAGCCTGGATCTGGTAACTCCCACAGCCCCATTGTAAAGATTCTGAGATTCACTGTCTCATTCCACCCCCAACCCCGCTTTTTTGTTGGCTGCGGCAGCAGCAGCAGCACAGTGAGAAAGAGGAGGGTCCATGGCAGGGCCTGTGTTTGCCCAGCATGGGGAACAGCGTCCTGCAGCAGTGACACCCCAGCCTGTGGAAGGTGAACACAGACCTGCTCAGGGAGATGGCGGCTCCAGATGGAAGTGGGGCGGGAAGTGGTGGATGCCGCACAGATGAACTGGAAGCAGAAGAGGCCCCTTGGGATGAGCTGCGAGATTGCGGTGTGTTTGAACACCGTATCTTCCTTACCCCCTTACCTGTGACCCTGCTCATGAGCCTCATTTACGTGTATGTCCTGTCGTCACTGCCTCACCAGGCAGTCCCCGACTGTCCGCACAACCCTGGGGCTGTCGGGACTGATGGTCAGGCCAGCACTGGGGTGTGGGCTAGATTTGTTTCTCCACTTCAGCCGCGACAATGGCAGGACCCGCGTGTCCAGCAGAGGCGGCACCGGGTATGGGCTGGAAGTTGAGAGTCCTGTATTTGTTCCGCAGTCCTGGCTCTGAGGGCGTCCTCGGGCCGACAGCCGCCCTGGACTCCTGGGTACTTGCGGTGGGCTTTCTTGTCCCAGAGCAGACTTGGGACGGGCTTTGAGGTGTCCTCCAAGGGTGACTCCGCTGTGGTCATGAGCAAAGGAGTTTCTGACAAGTGATTTGTTTCAGACTTGATACAGTCTGAGGGGGGGTTGGTCCTGTGGAGAGGGGCAGTCACACTGGCCTAGAGGGACAGTACTGGGGGTCAGTGACCACCTGGAGGTCGTCATCATTTGTTGTGCACGTGTTGTTTTTTTAAACAAAGTTTTATTACAGAAAAGTTGTCACATAGTTGAGTATTTCTCTTTGTACACAATTATTCTTCCACAGAAAGGCTGCTTAACTTCTCATCTCATGATGGCAAGCACTAAAATCCTGATTTTAACAGAATATTAGTAAAAATGCCTCAGTGATTTCAGTTGAAAGCAGTACATTGGTAATGGCTCTCACACCCAGTATCAGGAATGTACAAATGTCTTTTTTTTTTTTTAGAGTTAAATGATATAATTTAAATAAGAAACACAACACTAAAAATGTTTTTAACAACTACAGTATGGCCCATACCTTGAGACTGATGAGGATCTGGATCTGTGGACACGGATGTGGAGAGGAGGTGTGGAGAGAGAGTCATTGTTTGGAAGAAGGATTCCCTTCCAAAAAATCAACTGGTAGCCGCTTTTTAGGATTTTTTTTTTTTCCCTTCGTTGCCTTTTTACTAGGACCTGGCTGGCTTTCTCTTAAAAAAAAACACAAACTCTAATGTGGTCAGCTGTTGGTGTTTCCTTAATTGTTTTCTAAAAGGGTTTACTAAATTATCAACAATACCGATAACACAGTTCCTTATCATGATTATTTTTTTAAAAATTTAAAAACTCTTTCTTAGGATCCATGCTTTTTATCTAAAAAGAGTAAAAAAAAAAAAAACTAAAAATTTATAGCAAAACATATTGATCACAGCTGCAAACGGTTTAAATAACGTGTACTAACAACGCCAACTAACCGCCGAGTGACCGAAACACAGCTGCGTTTGTTTGCAAAGATCACGCGCGTCAGGTTGGATTCCGATGTCTGGTTCGAGCTCCAGTGCAAACTGTTCTCGACACTTGGCATCCACGTTGGATCAGGTGGAGCATGGATGCTGTGGAGCACAGGGGTTCTGCTGTAGCTGCCGATGCGCGGCCGCCATTCTCCGGGCAGCTTGTCCTGGAGGTATCAGTTAGGGTCCTTCCTCTCATCCTCACCTTCTGGATTGTAAACCTTGAGACTGATGAGGATCTGGATCTGTGGACACGGATGTGGAGAGGAGGTGTGGAGAGAGAGTCATTGTTTGGAATCAAAAAATCAACTGGTAGCTGCTCCTCAGGAGTTTTTCCCTTTGTCGTTTTTTCACTAGGATCTGGCTGGCTTTCTCTGGATAGGGAATTTTCCCATAGGTAACAATTTCATACAGGAGATTTCCAAAGGACCAGACATCAGACTTAATAGTGAAACATCCAAAGTTGATGGCTTCGGGAGCTGTCCATTTAATAGGGAACTTAGCACATTTTAGCCCATTGTTGCAGCCACTGTGTCAATCCATCTTGTTGAGGGTCTTACTATTTCTCACTGCCCCCTACCATACCAAGCATTACGTCCTTTTCCAGGGACTGTGTCACCTGTAAGATGCCGAGCAAGAGAAAGCCAGCCTGCCCCTTTAATTCATCCCAAATGTCTTTTTATTGAGAAGTACAAAACAAATGATCTATAGGCATGGGCATGACAACAGTAAACCATTCGACATTGTCAACTGAAACCAGTAACTGATGGTGATAGGGATTTTCTCAAAACAACAACCAGCCTTTTCTTCCTTTCTTCTGAACTGACTTGTGTGAAGGTCTGGGTGGGGAACACCGCCTGGAGCTTCCTTGTCGCAGTTCATCAGGAAATGGCAGGTGTGCGTGTGTTTTCCTGTTCATTCACTTGAAATGGTCTGCGGCCTGTGCCCGGCCCTGCGCCCGCGAAGGCAGCAGGAAATCTTTTACCTGGAGGGTCCAGCTGTGGATGACCCTGCCGTCTCCAGGGTCACATTCGGAGGTCTTCCCACAAGCACATGCCAGCAGGTTCTGTTTTGCCTTCTTGGTACTTCAGAATCCCTTTCTCCCTCTGCTTTTTGGGAATGCTACACGAGTAAACTCGGACATGCTGTCAGGATGGTATTTAGAAGGAAAACGCTGTGGTTTTGGCCCTTAAGCGGCGGGTGAATTGATTGAGGGCAGGCATTTGGTTCCACCAGGGGGCAGTAGGTGGGGATTCCCCCCCCCCCACTGAAGGGACAGAGCCTTCCTCCTCAGGGTGCCCTCGGCCTGGCCACAGCCCTGAGAGGTGCAGGTGGGAACTGGAATGGCTGGGCTGAGGAGCGGGGGAGACTTGTGTTGTGCTCTGGTAATTGTCTGCTGTGGACTATCTCACCTGCTCGGGACTGTGACGACAGGTACTGCCTCCGCTCTGCCAAAAGCAGTGGCATTAATGGACTCGCCCAGCAGGCCAGTCCTGGAGACCCTCCTGGGGAGGACACTTCCAGGTGAGGTGGGTCCCTGGGAGCAGCCGATGTGGCCAGAGCAGTGGACTCACCAAGCCAGACACACTGGAATGTCTACTGATGGGAATGCTTCAGAGCTTGGCTTGCTGCAGCTTTGGGTCTGCAGAGGGCAGGCTGGGACCTGTGCCAGCGTGAGACAGGAGCTCCCTGAGGGAAATGCACATGCACACTCCCAGATGGCCGGCCTGGTCTGGCTGTGGAGCTTGCCCCTCTGACTCTCTGGCCTCCCCACCCATGCTGGCCACCACAAACTGCTGCCTAGTATTCACCAGCCGTCAGGTCCAGCCTGGCTTTGGGCTGCTGGAGCAGATGCCCTCTCGCCATTAGTCTTCTCAGAAGGTACCAGTCCTGCAGCCGTTGAGTCCACATCCTATGTATCCCTGAGCCTCGGTGTGGGCAGGCTGCTGGCCTGGGCACTAACATCAGGTGTGAGCCCTGTCAGCACAGGCACTGCCAGGATGTGACCCAAGGGTTCCAGCCTGGGCCTGGTCAATAGGCTGCCCCTGAGGCCCAGCACAAGCTGTTTGCTGGTGGCTGCAAAGGGCAGGCCTCTCTCCGGGTGGGAGTGTGGCAGCGAGAGTGAGCTTGTGTCTCTTGTCTGCCCCTGGAGGAAGCCCCAGCTGCTCTCACTGCGTTTAAAAGAACCATTGCCATGAATATGACAGATGACCCAATCCTCATGATCCCTGGCTTGGTTGGTTTCTCACTCTGGCAGCAGAATGGCTGTGTCGATGACAATATTACTATCTGTAAAATTCTGCTGTGGGGGTTGGCTCTGTCCATTTTCCACCTCTGTGACTTGCTGGGGGCAAGAGTGGGCATGTGGGGTCACCCCAAGGTCCTGCAGGCCAGGGAGCCCCCTGCTGCCTGAGGTCCTCAGCCAATTAAACGGACTAGAGACTGACTGGTGGGTGGGTCCCACATGACCAGCCTTGGACAACACCTCCCCTTGTGGTGAGGGGTCTGCCAAGAGCAAGAACCGGCTTCCTGTGAACTCAGAGTGGGAACGACACAATCTGGGCCCAGGCCACACAAGTGCTGCTTCGCCCTGCTGAGCATCAGGGAGGGAGGGAGGGAGTGTGTGTGTGTGTGTGTGTGTGTGTAGGGGGACCTCAGATGAGGCAGGAACATCAGCCCGTCTCCTGGCACTTGTTGACTTGGGAGAAAGGGGAAGGCATTTTAAAGGTAAAAGAATGGATTTTTTTTCCTTAAATAAGAATCACCCACTGATTGTGCATTGCCAGTGTGTTTGTGTATGTGTTTTAACAGGAGTGTTTTAAAAATGTGCTGCAAAGAGTGGGGAGGGGGAATTTAAAGGGGAGCTGATATCAAGGAGTTCTAGAAGAAAGAAAATGGTTTGAAACTGATTGTGGTAGTAATTGTGCAATACTGCTTGATGTGATTGAACTGTAGAATGTCATGATACTGTATCTGTAAGAGCTCCCAATAAAGTGATTAATAAATAAATATATTTTTTAAATCTGCAAGACCTGCAGCAGGTTGTGCATTGAATCTTGAACTCGCTGCCATTGACTCGATTTCGCCTCACAGAGACCCCACAGGACAGAGTAAAACGGATACCCCAAGCCCCGGTTCTCCAAGGCTGTCAGTCTTTAAGTAGACTGCTTCATCTTTCTGGCTGGTGGGTTTGAACCGCTGATCTTGTGGTCAGCAGCTCAATGCGTAGTCCACTCCACCCCCAGGGCTTCTGTGACTTTTAAGGCACTTAGGGTCCCTTCACATGTCTAAATGCTGTCTTCAGTCCTAATGGAGTGAGGGAGGCAGGAGACGGGCCACTGTGGAGCATTGCCCCTGCATCCTGTGCGACATTCCTCCTGCAACCTGCAGGCATGCTCACGTGGCTTCCCTCTGCAGGTGCACGTTCCGGTTCCCCAGCACCAACATCAAGATCACGTTCACCGCCTTGGCCAGCGAGCGCAGGGAGAAGCCAGAAGCGCCTGCATCCCCTGTGAAGCCAGTGCAGCCGCAGATCTCGCCGCTGACCATCAACATTCCAGACTCCATGGCCCACCTCATCAGCCCCCTGCCTTCCCCCACGGGCACCATCAGGTAGGCCGGCTGCTGCTGCTGGGCTGGTGGCCGTGGAGGGGGAAGAAATACAAATACTTAGACAGGTTTATTTCACACAGTGGAATTGGCTCACACAGTTGTGTTAACTCCCAAATCTGTGAGTCAGGCAGCAAGTGGGAGGCTTCGCCCAGCTCATGTGGTTGCAGGGACTGATGAACTCAAAATCTATAGATCAGACAGAAAGCTGTTGGCTTAGGTCCCAAAAACCCATGGTCAGAGATCGATAAGTTCGATGCAGTATCCAGAGATGGAAAGTTTTGTCAGAGCCAATAATGGATGCAAAACAAACCACTTTCAACAGAGGCTGCTCATGTTAGATCACAAAATAGTGGATGATTACATGTATCTGCCAAAACTATCATAGCCTAGCCAAGGTGACACAGAACCTTAAACATCACATGATGGGACATATCGATCCAGCTTTAGTTAGTTATTTGTAAGTGGAGATACAGTTGTCCCAGCAAAAAATATTGAATAGACTATTTTTACCCCTTTGAATGAACCAAGCACTCTTGTCAAAAACTCAGTTGACCAAAAATGAACGGGTTTATTTCTGGACTCTTAATTCTATTCCATTGCCCAAGTGCAGTGTGGATTTAAGGGCCAGAGGAGGGTGGTGCTCGTTTAAAGTCGGTGAGTTTTTCATTTGATTTGGAGTTTTCTTTTCCTCTTTCAAAGGCAACCCTTTATTCTAGCGTACAGATTTTAGGGTGGGTGACATAACCCTCTAGGTGCATGAGAGAGCCTGACGGGTCAAATATGCTGCTTCTGGCAGTTCATACTGACAGGCCCCTGAGCCTCCCCATCTCCTCTCTGCCTAAGCCCTGGGTGCAGGGAGGGGCCGCACCCAGCACCCTGTGGGGGCAGCACAGAATCTGAGGCTTTTTTGGGGGGAGGTGGAAGATTCTTTGTGGCCACACCTCCCACTTTTGGTTAGCAGCCAAGTGCTTAATCCACTATGTCAGCAGAATCTCTTCTTCAGTTTGGAACAGTTCTTCAGTATTGACCTTGACTTTCAAGACTTTGAGATGGTTGAAAATAAAATTTCCAGGTATGTTGAAGAATGCTTTTTTTTTTTTAGGCGAAAGTAAGCTTTTATGAGTGAAAGTGAGGTGTTTTGATAGTACGTTCTCACAGACAAGAATGGCCATCTCCGGAAAGCATGGAAACACACGGAGAGATAGGGAAGGCGGAAAGGGATGTGGAGCCAGAAAGAAAGAATGGATTTTCATCTACACCTGAAAGCAGCCATCTAGTTAGCAGTCCAGCTGGGAGCTCTCTTGACTTCTATCGCAGACACCACGGGGGTGGCTTTAACAAGACCCTGTGTTCTCCCAGCTCAGGGGGCTGGAGAGAGCTGCGTGGTGGGGCCCCCACCAGCCTGGCTTCAGCTCACGACAAGCCAGCACCCAGTGGAAGCGAGGCTCTGAGCTCCAGTTCTGGGACTCCGTATAATCCAGGCTTGCTCGGGGCCATACCCGAGCCACCCAGGGACCGGGCACCCTCTGGAAGCAGGGCCTCAGTGCTGCCCACAAGATCGCCCTCCACGGGCCAGGAGCTCAGACTCCGTGTGAAGTCGCAGGAGGGGTGTGTGTCCGGGGGTTCCTGAGGAGGGTGTTGGGGTGTCACAGGTGGGAGCCCTCACCTTCCATGGGAAACGGTGTTTGATCCCCGTCTGCACTTCACACACGGCCGAGACTTCCGTCAGGGAGGCTTGCTGGGCGCTGGGGTGCTGCAGGTTCAGGCGAGCTTCCAGATAGAGGGCCTGGCCTTCTTCCGAAAGCCAGCCCGTGAGAACTGGATCACAGCCATCTGACTCACAAGCAGTTCTGTTGTGCATAGGGTTGCCTCCAGTCTGGGGGAAGGGGACTGGGGTACGGGGACACAGGGGATGGTCAGGTATCACGGTTGGCAGCTAATAATGAGACCACACTGCTCTTAGACTCAGAGGTGGGACCAACCCACTTCTCTCAAGCAGGCCTTGTGCTGCCCAGGCCACGCAAGGGACTGCTGGGGACGGGCTCACCCTGCTTGCTTGGAACTGTCACAAGGTGGAAAGGCAGAGTAGGACAACTTGGGCCTGGGGGAGATAGGAGGGAGAGCCTGCAGCCTCTAACTGCACTTTCGGGGTGCACAGCCTCTCTCCTCACTCACCCAAGTGGAGCACAACCCTCCAGGGTGGGCCCTTCAGAGTCTCTGCAGGGGGTCCCGTAGGCATGCTGGACCAGGCCCAGCTGAGCTGCAGACAGGAGGGACATGGCTGAAGGTGTCCACGTGGGATGGTGTGGACTGGATATGGAGGGCTGTCCTGCCCTCGCCCCTCTGTGGAGAAGAGTTTGTTCTACACATGCGTGGTGGCCCTTGGAAGCAGGTACCTGCTGGGGCATCTCAGCTCTGAGGAAACTCATGAGAGCCCCTCTGTCGCCAAGAAAGGCCAGAGCACTCTAGAATGTAATGTCGTTATTCCTCCCGGAACCAGCCCAATACAGACCAGCTGTCCAGGTGTCCCTGTAACAGAGTAACAGGAATGCCTCTTTCTTGTCTCCTGCAGCGCTGCAAACTCCTGCCCATCCAGCCCTCGTGGGGCAGGGTCTTCAGGGTACAAGGTGGGCCGTGTGATACCATCTGACCTCAGTTTAATGGCTGACAACGCACAGCCAGAAAACGAGAAGGAAGCCTCAGGCGGAGACAGCCCAAAGGTAAGGTCCTGCAGCCTGACTCGGGGCCACACAGTCTGCCCCTGAGTTCATGCCTACTTGCCCAAGTGTCCTGGCTGCTGGACGTGCTCTGAGATTCCCCAGCGCAGGTGTGGAGTAGCCAAGGCGTTGAGGGGTGTCCATAGCGGCCTTGCCTCTGCCCCAGTAGACCACAGCTGCGGCTGCTCGCCATGTCTCCCACGCCGGGGCTGCACCGTCTTCTCTCTGATAGTCAGTCCGTGCAATGAGTCTGTTTGCACTCTTTGGCCCAGTAAGCCCTACCCTTATAGAACTTAGTCTACAGGAAGTAGGCAAAAATATAAACACGAGTTTGTATAAATCAAAATGTAAAAGATCTTCAATGGCCCATAAGAAAATTACTGTAATACGGTAGATATCGCAGTGCGAGAATGTGATGCGTGATGTTTACAGCTAAGGAGCAACTCTTCATCCAGGGCCGAGTAGTAGGATGGCCCACCCCGACAGCACAGCCTAGCAGGGCCTTCCCTGGCCTGGGCAAGCTCTGTGTCAGCTACGGGAGCAGGCCACGCTCACTCGGACCGTCTGATTCATTCTCTGGTGGTCGCTTAATAAATCTTTGAAGTGAGCCATCAACATCAAAGATGTCTGAGTGTGGTTGCCTGGCTGGGAGATGGTGGCCATTGACACAGAGGTCTCCTGGGTGCCAGGTGGCTGCACCTTCCTGCACAGAGAGAAGCAGCACCCTTCCTCCTGGTGCCTCCATACCAGCCTGCGTGGATCTCGGGCTCTGATTGGTTGGAAGTGTCGCATACACAGGACGGTCTGGCGCACACTCTGTTGTCATCGACTTTTCTCACTGTCACGGGCGTAGTTTCCACAAGTCCACAAGCAGGGTCCCCCCTCCCTGGTGGGCTGGGGGAACAAGAGTGGATGGAAGCCTGGGCTGCCGCACACTGCAGGTGGGGGACACCCTGCCTGCACACAGAGCTGTATCCCAGTTTTCTTGTTGCCGTTCTCTGGACTGTTCTCATTTCCTCCAAACTCCTCCAATCAAGTAGTATTTTTATAACGTGTAAAACGAACTTCAGGGCCAAGTTTAAAATGCTGTGGAGACAGTTTGGAGGACTGAGAGGTCACCATGGAGTGGTGACAGGCTGCTCACCATGTGTCGCCCCTTCTTCCCTCACAGGGTGACTCAAAGCCGCCTTACTCCTATGCACAGTTAATAGTCCAGGCGATTACACTGGCTCCTGACAAGCAGCTCACGCTCAACGGCATTTACACCCACATCACGAAAAACTACCCCTACTACAGGACAGCGGACAAGGGCTGGCAGGTATGCCGATGCGGTCTCCCGGACACGCCCTCCGGCTCCGGCTCTTACCGATGGCGGTCAGGAGCAGGCGGAATCAGGCGTCTGTTGTGTCCATTCAGATAAGAGGGAAAAGTTGAGTGTGGGGCCTGCTGCCGGTATCGCCATGGCAGGGGAGCGCTTTCCAGGCCCCCATTCCTCGGGTCTCTGGGCCGTGCACATCCACACTGGGTGCCCAGCAGCACTACCCTCACCGGCAGTGTGGGAGACATGCGCCAGCCTCTATCCACTGCTGGGATGGTGCAGGCGCCTTGTGAGGCACTGGTTCAGCGAGTAAGTGCTCCTGGGAATGGTCTTTGAGGTGGCCAGGTAAGGGGTGGGCTAGAGAGAGTACCCAGTCTGCTGCCCAATGGAGGGAGGCCCCCTCCATGTAGAAACGTGCCATCATAGCAGTCCTTTTGGGGCAGGGCCTCTGACAAGGGGACCTTTTGTAGCCTGTTGCTGCCTAGGTTCCTGTTTCCGTGACTTGCTACCATTCCCTGATTTGGGGGCAGGCTTTCTGAGGACTCCGCCCTGGGACCTTTCCTGGCCCTGGTCCCTGGGACTGAGGGGCGGCTCGGGGAGGCTGAGGGCCTCTGTGACTAAGTGTGTTTTTATGAAAGCCCCTCTTTGCTATCCGGAGCTGGCGGGGCCACTCTTGGGACCACTTTCAGTAGCTTGGGGACCAACAGGCTCAGTTTCTCTGTCCTCGTAACACTTGGTGACTGAACAGCCTCTGCTGGTGGCCGCTGCGCCTGTGCAGAATGACTAGTCTCCGTGTGGGCCCTCTGGTCCCTGCCCTTCTGGCTCAGCGTGGGCGTGCTGTGTCCTCAGAGCCAGACCCTTTGCCTGAAGGAAAGCAAGAGGCCAAGGCTGCTCTCTCTGCTAGCGGGGCTGCTCGGGGCTGCACAGCACAGCAGCCTGCCGTGCAGGTGGCCCTTCTGTGCCGTGGCTGCAGTCGGCGCCCCTCGGGGTTTTCATAGCGGGGAGACTCCCAGAGTAAGATGGGGGTGCTAGAGGGCCTGTTTGCAAAGACTGGCTCTTTCCTTTGGTTGTACTTTTCTGACGATCTTATAATGACAGTTGTCCCCAGTGCAGACTGGAGGGACTTGCTGGAGGTTGTGGAAAGTTTGTAAAGACTGGCTTGGATTTCCCTGTGGAGAGTTGGGCTGCCCTGTACCCCACTTGAGTAGCATTAGGAGAGCCTGTCGGACTCCTCAGAGGGGCAATGATGTCTGCCCTCTGGATGCGTGTGTGAGCAGTAGGAAGCGCACACAGCAAAGTCTCACAGCGCTGGAGACTGGGGCCTGCTCCGGGAGGCAGTGGCGCTGGTGAGCTGTCGGCGGGAGGGGCTCCGTGCAGACGGGTGCTCATTATGCCACGTTCCTTGAGGGCACGTGAAGACCTGAGACCTGCTTCTCTGAGTCTTAGGATCAGAGTCCTCCTGGCACCAGATACAACCTGGTAAAGGCACGCTCTTCCTGGACGTCTGTGTTAGCAGGGCTTTGAGCTGCCTCAGAAACAGTTTCTTCCTCCAGCTAACCCCAAGGTAGCTGTGGCCTGTGGCCTCGTTAGCAAGTCAGCATGCAGAACCTGTCAGAACCTTGTGGGCTCAGAGTGAGAGCAGCCGCCAGTGGCTCCAGCCAAGGACGACTGGGCAAAAAAGAAGTACTGTCTGTCTGATCCAGTTGCCCCGCCCACCCCTGGTTCCCCTCAGTCCGTGTAGCCACGCCCGTGTGGGTGCAGGGTCCCAACAGGACAGTGAGGAGGAGGGTAACTGCCATCTCTACTGTCGGCATGCTCAGTGTCGCTGCCTAGATTTGCCTTCTGCTTCCAGTCCTGGGAGTTTCCTCCTGCTCCCTGCCTAACAAGTGTCAGGGCAGTGGCCGCACCTTCTCTGCCCTCACCTTCGATGGGGGCCAGTCAAGGTCCCATGCTCTGTCCTGAAGAAATGGGTGAAAAGGTTTGTGTGGTTGTCAGCCACACCCTATGAGAAAAAGCGAGTACGTGTTTGTAAAAACATCTTTTGTAAACCGTTTCCCAAGTCGTCCTAGGCATGACCACACCTGCCCTTCGATCCCTGGCGTCCGCAGGAGGGAGGAAGGGTTTGTTGGTGGCTGTCATGTGCCTTCCCCACTGGGCTGCCCTGGGCAATGTAGACCTCCAGGTGTGCCCACGGGCCTGTGAGCCAATCACAGGAGTGCGGAGTCAGCTGTGGGGAACCCAGCACCTTTACTTAGAATTGCGGCCACCTGCATGCAGGTGGTTGGTTGTGGGTATGGCTGCCTGAGGTGCTGGCGTCCGCCGACCCAAGGCTGCCCTGAGGGCCGCAACGGGAGGCTGGAGGCCTGAGGAGTGCAGGAATGGGGGCCGAGTGTCAGCAGAGCTTCTCTACAAGTGAGGGCCACGTGAACAACCCCGTGGGATGAGCCACCCGAGGCCACTGCCCGTGCTCACTGCAGCTGCCCACTACATCCTGAGCTGATGGAGTGTTTCTTGGGGGCGGGCAGGCCTGTGGGTGGGGACAGACAGCACCGCCCAGGGGCCCCCCTGCCATTTCACTGCCTGTGCTGTGTGTGTATCAAGCTGCCTTTCCCTCACGGGGCGGCCTGCCCAGGAGAAGACTGTGCTGCTGGGGCTGGAGCCTCCGGTCTGCTGCTGCTGTGCCGAGCGCCCTGTTTCTCAGCAGAGAAAGATAGGACTTCGATGTATGTTTTCATGTTTCATAGAATTCCATTCGCCACAATCTCTCTCTGAATCGTTATTTCATCAAAGTCCCGCGCTCCCAGGAAGAACCAGGCAAAGGCTCCTTCTGGAGGATAGACCCCGCCTCGGAGAGCAAACTGATAGAGCAGGCTTTCAGGAAGAGGCGCCCTCGGGGCGTGCCGTGCTTCAGAACCCCTCTGGGGCCGCTCTCTTCTAGGTAAGGACAGAGGACCGCCCTTAGAGACCTGCATGGTCAGTACTCTGCCTTCCACGTACTGCTTGTGTTCCCTTTTGAAAGCAAAGGAATGTGGGTGCATTCATAGTCACGAGGGGAGTGTGGGCCCCTGGGGTCTGGCATGTCGCCCGCTGGTCAGAGCTTGCTTCAGGGCCTCCAGGACCACAGCATGTCACCTACCAAGGCTGTGCAGGGACAGGCCATGATCCCCCTTGTCCGAGAGCAGCTTTTCTTTGTGGAGTATCGGCTTGCTCAATGGTGTTCGGCTGATAGGTTGCCTTGCCACCTCCCAAGGTGCTTTCTTTGTAAACCAACCGCAGTGCCAGTGGTCAGCCTCCCGACAGGTGTAGATGCTGTGCAGCAGCTCTTCGCCGAATGCCAGCCCCACCAGCCTGTCACAGACTCTCAGAGCCTCCAGACGTGCCAGGCACGCCCCCTCTGATGGCCTCTCGGCAGGCGGCCAAGGTTTGTTTCCCAGACAGCTTGCACTGGCTGCTCTTTCTCGTCTTCTCTCAGAAGTGCCCCGGCCTCTCCCAACCATGCGGGAGTGCTGTCGGCTCACTCTAGCGGTGCCCAGACCCCCGAGAGCCTGTCCCGGGAAGGATCCCCGGCCCCCTTGGAACCTGAAGCTGGAGCCGCCCAGCCCAAGCTCGCTGTCATCCAAGAGGCACGGTTCGCCCAGAGTGCACCAGGTGAGGCACCTTGAGACCTCAGGGAGAGCACGCCTTCGAGTGATTCCAGAAAAGACACACTTGGATGCTGTGTACCCAGCTGGGATGGGTTCATATACTTGCCAAACTCAGGGACCATCTGGACACTGGCTCACTCGGAAGAACGCATGTCCCCAGTGCTGTACTGAATGCCAGGAGGTGAGGAGAAGCCCCCATGGTTCACAGAACTTCCTGGCTCAGTGAGAGCGAGAGGGCCCTGTCAGTACATGGGGTCCCAGGGTGCCTGGCCCTGGGCAGCACAGAAGCAAACACCAGGAGAGGGAGCTGTGGGACACGGTACAGGGCAGGCTGCCCGTCAGATTGCTTACCTGAAAGGTGGGGTCTGCTCAGAGACACCGTGAAGGAAAGACCTGGCACTTCTGAAACTGAGCCACTGTGAGTCCAAGATGCAGCTTCTCCCGTGGTCCCGGTGTCACAGTCGCTGGGTGGCACCTAGTTCTTCTCTAAAGGTCTACCTTTCTCTCTCTCTCTCTCCCGTCAGCACTCAGTGATATCTGTGCCTGTACCCTAACAGTGACATCTCTCCCTGCAGGCTCCCCTTTGTCTAGTCAGCCTGTTCTGATCACTGTGCAGAGGCAGCTGCCACCAACGATTAAACCTGTCACCTACACGGTGGCTACCCCTGTGACTACAGCGACCCCCCAGCAGCCTGTTGTGCAGACGGTCCACGTGGTTCACCAGATTGCTGCAGGGGCAGTCACCGGTATGACCGGGTTAGCACCAGCAAACACTTATGCAGTGGCCGGCCCCACCGTGGTCACCCAGGCAGCCGTGGTGACCCCTCCCAAGCTGGAGCCGCAGGAGAATGGAGACCACAGGGAAGTACAAGGTAAGGCCGAGCTGCCCTGTCTCCTGGTCATTTCTGGATGGGTTCCTCTCTTCCCCCATCACCTCTGGATGCCCCTCCCGCTTCTTGTTCCCTGGCTCACCATCAGCCCTCTCAGACTCACCTCTCTCCCCTCTTGCCAGTGAAAGTGGAGCCTCTCCCTGCCATTGGCCACCCCCCAATGGGCACTGCTGGCCGGGTCATCCAGACGTCGCCCCCCACCCCTGTCCAGACGGTGACCATCGTACAGCAGGCCCCGCTAGGCCAACACCAGCTCCCAATCAAAACCGTCACTCAGAACGGGACTCACGTGGTACCAGTCGCCACTGCCGCCCACGGACAGGTGAACAGCGGTAAGAGTCCCTGGCCCAGCTATGTCCCAGATGTGAGTGATGGGAGCAAGGACCCCAGCAGCTGTGGTCCAACAAAGACGTGCTCCGTGTCCACATCTAGCGGCTGCCACTACATGTGTTGTCTGAGGAGGTGCTAACATTTCCTAGTCGTGGGCTTGGGCCCAGGTGATACTGCACCGTTCCCAAGAAGTGGAGAGGGCAGCAGCTCTCGCGAATTCCCACTTGAGGTATCCTGGGGCCTGGCCGGTGGACCTGGGCCACCGTATTGGGGGTGAGCTGCCAGGTGCACCCTGCAAGAGGGCGAGTGACAGTGAAGTTGTGTGCTGGAGACTGGCTGCTGGGAGCTTGATTTTAGCTCAGGCCAGGAGGGTGTGGTACACAGGCCACCCAACCTGCAGCCCTGGGAGTAGCGGGGAGGGCTGGAGAGGCCTGCGGGGCTGGACTTGTGCTGACAGTGGCGACCATCAGTGCGGCTCTCAGCCGCACAGGCCGTGGGACCTGCTCCCCCATGCTGCCCAGCTGCTGCCCTCACAGGGGCTCAGTTCTGCCTGGCCACGTCTTTGGTTGTCGCGAGTAGTCTCCTCCTCAGTCACGGTGGCCGTGAAGCCCTCGACAAACGTGCTGGCAAGGTCTCAACACACCTGCCCACACATAGAATTAGCTAGTTTTGTTACTGAGCGAAAAACCAGAAAGCGCTCCTGCATGAGGGAGAGGAAAGGTGCATTCTGGCTTTGCGGGGGATGGGAGGGAGGAGGGTCAGGGGCCTCACAATCCTGGGCACAAGATTGCCCAGGTGGAGCTGGGCGTGACTCAGAGTGAGACCCGTAACTGCTGCCTATCCTGGGCCTGGCCGCCTCGTGGCGAAAGGCCTGAGCAGCCAGCACGGGGATGGACATCACAGCAGCAGAGTCGGTTCCTGATTTGCCTCCATTGCTGCTAACGCTGACCCCCCCTCCCTCCCCCTCAAGCGTGCTGGCACCTTTTGTGTTACTATAACCAAGAAACTCTGAACTCATGGCTATCGAGTCCATGCTGACTTAGAGTGACCCCACAGGACAGGGTAGCACTGCCCCTGTGGGTTTCCAAGACTGTCACTCTTCACGGGAGCGGAAAGCCCCGTCTTTCTCTCTTGGAGTACCCTGTGCTTTTGAACCATTGACCCTGTGGTTAGCTGTCCAACATAGCCCACAACGCCCGAGGTCCTGTGTTATTTGAAGTTCTCCTGCTAGCAGCGGTGGGTGCCCGCAGCTTCTGGTTCTTCAGCTGTACCAGCCACACAGGAGAAGCTGTGGGCTCTGGGCTCAGACGGGCCTGAGCCGTGGTTCTGACTCTCTGTCTCTTTGCAGCCGCCGCCAGCCCCTTACACATGTTGGCCACCCACGCGTCGGCATCCGCCTCCCTGCCCACAAAGCGCCAAAACGGCGAGTCACCAGAGCAGCCCGAGCTGAAGCGGATCAAGACGGAGGCTGGGGAGAGCATCGTCATTGCCGTGAGCGTGGATGCGCCGCCTGCAGCTGCCCGGGAGAAGGGCGTCCAGAACTAGGCACGCTCCTTCACCACTCGCCACTGTGGTGCCAGAGGGAGGCGTGGCACCATCCCCACGCAGCGTAAAGGGCCCTGCGGTTAGACTTCACCTCTCAGCACTGAAAACGCAAACCCAGGCGGCCTTAAGACTCTTTGTTAAAACAGAGACTACACTTGAAAAAAAAAAAAAAAAAGCCACACACAGCAAAACCTTGATCCAGAGGCCATGGTCTCCTTCCCTGCCGAGCCTTGCTGGTCACCCTGCTCAGCCTGTCAGGCCTCACTCCAGAACGATGGGACCTTCCGTGTTCCTGAAATGGGACAGAGGCGGGGCTGCCCACCCGCTACCCCACGAGAGCCACCTTGGTGGGCACTGGCTGACAGTATTTTGTGGAATTAGAACCTTTTGAGTGGAACTTTCTTTCTTTACAAAACAACGGGGTCATTGGCATTTCAAATCACTCCATTGCTACTCTGGAAATTTTTGAATCCACCCCCCACCTCCCCCCAACTTTTCACGTGACCCTCGGGGAGAAGAAAGCACGGCTTCCGTTGTGTGCGCTCAGCCTGTGGGTTGATGTCCTCCTGTCTGTCCTGTCAGAGCTCAGGGGACACGACGCTGCAGATGGTCCGTGTCAGAGCTGCTGCCTGGGGCACCGCCCCTCCTGGGCTGCATGTGAGGAGGAGCCGAGGGCAGGGTCCCGAGCCGCCGCACTTAGCTGTTTCTTTCTTGCTACTTCTGTCGTCGTTTCTGTGTTGACTTTGCCCCTGCCGTACTTCTCTACGCTGAGTCAAACGGATCTGAAGAGTATTGTATTATGTTTCCAACCACAGAACTGCTACCGTTCCATTTGGAAAAAAGATTGAATCTTTTGTCACATGCCCTTTCAAACAAGATCAAAGATCTCTTTAATGACGCCGTCGACATTGTAAGTGTCACCGCCTCGCTCCAGAGCCATCGGACACCTTGCCCCTGTTCCCTGTGGCTGGGGACAGCTGTGCAGCGTGTGGAGCCGTGGCGGCAGGTCTCGGGCTCACAGCTGGAAGCCCTGCTCTGTCGAGCGGCACTGGCCCAGCCCCGAGGCCGACTTGAAGACAAGCGCTGGGAGGGCAGCAGGGTGAAGGGGAGACGCGCAGGCCTGTCCTGTCCTGAGCTCAGCTCGCGCCCAGGACAAGTCTCTCACTCCCAGAGGGTACCGGGCAGGCGGAGCAGCTGTGCACTCAGAGGGCTTTGGCCTTTTTTAGTGTCATCATCATAACATTATTTATTTAAATGTAGTTATTTTGGTATTTAATTTTTTTTTAAGAGAGTGGAAAAAAAAAACAGACCCTGTATTTTCCTGATGGAATGAAACAGCTCAAAATGGTATATTTAGGTGATTTAAGAACATTTATTGATTTACCTAAAGACCAAATATGATAAATCTGTTCCCAGTGTTGTGTGTCGATCCACAATGTCCCTGCAGATGTGCATCTTAAAGGGGGTGCAGCCCTACTACACACCCCAGATCTGTCACTGGGCCACAGCAATGAGGAGAGCCGCCGAGCCGCCGCGTGCCCAGAGGGAGGGCCCGCAGAGCCGGAGTGTGGAGTGCGGAGCTCCAGTGTCTTGTTCCTGAGGTTGCAGGGGAGGGAGCTGCTTGGATTTCTCCGGGTCCTGTGTGGAGTTGGCGCCCTCGAAAGCCAGCACAGGAGTGACCTGTGCTCGTGCCCCCAGGAAATTTGGCAGATAAGTGCATGGAGGCTGTGCCCACAATGGCACTCCAGAAAGTGGGTGATTATGAGCCCACAGCAGACCGAATGGAGGGTGGGGGTGGGGGTGGGCGACGGGAACCCTGTTGGGCAAGAGCTCCCTTGTTCTCAGAGGACGGTGCCGGAGCTGCTGGGCAAGGAGGCTTCATTTTAAATCACTCACACGTGCCCCACCGTGGATGAGGTTGGCACATGCAGGTCGCTTACTCATTGCACGTAAAACTAAGGCTATCTGGGAGCAGGCAGAAATGGAACCATAGGTTAGCAAGCTACTGTGCCCTGGATTTTATTTCCAGCCTTTAAGGCATTGTTTGCAGTTGGAATTGAGCTCTGAATTCCCCAAAGCCCTCAGGGCATGGAGCGTTAGTGACTTCCTGTCAGAATGTGACTGGCAGGTGGACCACGTCACCATCCCATCTCTCATCCTTTCGTCTTCTCACCCTGATACACGTGCCGTGAGCTCCCAGCTGCCCACTTGTGATTCCTAAATGTTTTTTTTTCCCAAGTCTGTGCTTTGACCTTTGCCAAACTTATGAGCTCCCTCAGGGAATAGAAACTTCATTTCAACAGCTTTGGCCAGAACCAAACAATAATACAGAAAGGACAGTCCCGTCGGATCCAAGTTGTGTGCTGCGTTCCAAAGCGGCCACGGTAGCTTCTGGGCTGATCTTCCTCGTGCTTCAGTAGAGCGCGCACGTGGACACTCGAACCCCTCCATGCGCCCGCCCGCCACCCACTCCCGTCATTGTCCTCTGCTCGTGTACCAGAGCCGCCCACTCCGGTCATTGTCCTCTGCTCGTGTACCAGAGTCGTTGGTAGTTTTGGTCAGAAAGGGGGGTGGGGCGGGGCAGTGTCAGGACTTGGGATGTCTATGCTGTGTCACACGGAACATAAGTAACGGTCTTGAAGTCCTAACTTACACTCTTCTAGAAAGTACAGTGGTGGTTTGTGTGCAAAGATTTGAAATTTTAATGGAAAAATACCAAGTTCCTGAAATTCAATAAAATATTTTTATTAATTTTAATTGAATATGGAGTGCGACCGTCTTTGGGGTGAGTGTAAGTTTAATCTGGCATTGTTTCATGACGCAGGCGCTCTAGCGAGGGCTTATTTCCCGCGCAGCAGCGTTGGGTGACGCGTGTGAAAACCAAAGCCTGCCGTGCTGCCCTTGTGCCAATTCTGGCTCATAGGGACCCTGTGGGACAGGCGAACTGCCCCTGCGGGCAGAAAGCCTCCTCTGCCCCATGAAGCCGAGCAGCTGGTGGTTTTGAACCACTGACTGTGATTAGCAGCCCCATGCTTACCCCACCGCGCTACCAGGGCTCCTGACTAGTGATAGGAACTCTGCTCATAGACAGAGGTTTGCATGTGGAAAAGGTAAAGTCTCAGGCAGTGCTGACAAACTTGCTCATTTTTACCTGTGACTCTGAAGTTTTAAAGTTTATTTTCAAGTTGTGGTTGTCACTACCATTTCTTACTCAGGCTTGCCCCTCAACCTAAGAATCCAGGTCACTACAAGTCACAGGAGACGCATTCCCTTGTCACTGCCCCCCTTGGGTCATTCAAGTGCAGGGGCTCAGGTTCAGCCTCACCGGAGAGAGGAGCGGTTCTGGAAGTGATGGTCAGGCCCCCGTGGGAGCTCCACTACAGGAAGCTCGGATTTAGGGTTACAGGGGAGCACTGTCAAGTGAAGGTTCCCGGCAAGCCTGTAGCAGCACAAAGCCGTCGTTCAGAATTGTTTCTGTCAGATTTGTTGCGCGTGTTGCATGGACAGATCTTAGCAGAGCGGCACTGTCCCTCCCCTCCTCAGGGAAAGCATGTTGATCCACGAGGTGAACCGTAGTGAAGGTAAGCTGCCGAAAAGGGGGTTAACAGCTGTTCTAGAACATGACGTCGTAGCTTTGAAATGTTTTCTTGTTTTAAGGAAGAAGACCAAGTCACAGGACGCTGCACCAGGGAGTCTAGTACAAGAGAGCAGCAAAAAGCCTTGTCGACTGTTGTAAGGTCAGCAGACGGAGCCACACTCTGTTCATAGGGAATGTAATGTGGCACAGCGTGACCTTCACATGCAGTCACCATGTAGCACGTTCAAGACTAAAGATGGAGGTGAAACTACAGTACATAGTTCACACGTTATCCAATTTATCAGAACTTCCGTAGGGGGTAGGGTTTTGTGGACATACTGTGTGCTTGGTCTTAATCCTCCATCTCTGCAGATGTCCACAGCAATTTTTTAAAATTAGAATTGAAAGGGGTCCTAGATGACACCTGATGACCATGTACTTGCTGTTAACGTGAGCAGTCTCCACCCTCGCCTCCAATGCCAACAGCTCCTAACCACTTACACCTGAAAAGGAACAGGCACGTCGGAGTTAGAGAAACTACTGTGACGATCATTTTCGTAGTCCCCCAGCTCCCACCTCACGTGATGACAACCCAAGCAGCAGATCACGAGTGGACTTCAAACCTTCGTGGGAAAATGGAGTTAAGGTCGTGTCGTTTCCATGGACTTCAGGGGTGAATGTACCCGAGAGGAAGCTCCCCTCTTCTGACCAAGGATTCAGAAAGGGGAGTCCTGTGGGGCAGAGATGGCAGGACATCAGGAACCTGCACACTCCTGTAAGCATCTGCCCTGCAGACAGAACTTCAATCCTCGAGCAAGAACCACCAGGAAAGGGGGCGGGGCAGGTCCTGTAGACCGAGGCAGTGGTGGGCAGACCCCCGTTATTTTTCTCTTCTCTCCATGCTGTCAGGGAACGGCGGAGAAACCAGTTCGTGCTCTCGGAGTTGCTGTGCATGCCTGGAATGGACCGCCCAGCTGGAGGAGGGCCACCAAGAACTGGAGCGCAGGGCACAGACCCGAATCCGTGGCCGAGACAGACCCGAGCCCCTACCACCCCCAGAAGGAAGGAGCCCTGAAGCTTGACCTTTGCTAGGACAAATGTGTCAAAATTAGCAACAGGATTTTAACAGAACTAAGATTTATCATCTATAAAATGTCCAGGACAAGTCAACACGGAGATCCAAGAAATATTAGCGATTAAGAAAAGCAACAGACATCAACTCCCAGCGTGAGCCAGCTGTTGGAATGAGAAGAAGACAGTCTAGCAGCTGTCATCACGCGTGGTAAAGTACGAATAGTCCCCGGCTGAGACCTGTTTGAGTTACAGTGAACTGCACGGAAGACCAACTAAAAAAATAAGTGCTGTGGACTTCCTGGGGTGTTAAAGGACATGTTAGAATGCTCACTTGCAGATGTTCAAGATTGGAATGACAAAGATACCCTGTTTCTCCGAAAATAAGACAGTGTCATATTAATTTTTGTTCCCAACGATGCACTAGGTCTTATTTTCAGGGGATGTCTTATTTTGCCATGAGTAAGAATATGGTACACATTTATTGTTGAACAAAAAAAAAAAAAGGAAATT